AGCATGTCTATGTAGCACATCTACGGAGCATGTCTATGAAGCACATCTATGTAGCAATGCTGTGAAGCACATCTTTATAATATTGCTATAGAGCATGTTTATGTAGCATGTCTGTGAAGCACATCTATGGAGCAGGTGTGTCGCCGTGCAGGCGTCGTCACAACGTAACGTCCCCTCCCTTCCTCCTCCCACTCCGCTGAGAAGACTTCAGAGCTTATATCAATATAAGCATTAATAGTTGCCGATACAGTTTTCGAAGCAATTACGTCGGCTTGTTTACATTCCGCGTCGACAGTGACCGTAAATAACTAGGAAGGAAACGCGATTCGTCGGCCGCCGCCGTCGCCCACCCCTAGCCGCGCTTAGCTGCAACGAGATGCCGCACAGATCGCATTTTACAGGATTATAACCAGAGTCTATTGTCGAGAAAAAATGCCGCGAGAGAGAGAGAAAGAAATTCCCGTAATTTTGCAAATTAGCGTATACGCGAGACGTCCTCGCAGACGCCCGATATGAATTTTCCCCGCGGGGCATATACGGCGTGTGAGTCGATGGCGACCGCATGCGTGATGCAGGTAGTTCGGGGGCGTTGTGCTGAATAATGTAACATGCTTCTGTAAAATTGATTTTGCCCGAGCGAGGTTTTGTTGCGTTTAGGGAGCATAATTTCATTCGCTATGCATATCTAGAGTCGACGCCGTGCACTCGACCGCGTGCGCGCGCGAGGGAAAAGTTATTAACGCTTTCGGAGTTAATGTTTGTTTTTGACAGGGATATTATGAGCTCGAGAATCGTCCGTATTGTGTAATCTAAAATGCAATACCTGTTCATCCTTATTTTGTGCTATCGTTCACTCAACAGTTACATCGCATCCCAACGATGGCGATCGTTAGGGATCGCTAGGCGATCGCTATCGACCTGGTAAATTTATTTTCCGAGTTTTTCTACGTATAAACGCGGTCACAATGTGGCGCTTTGCGTCAATAATTGTTTCTAAATGGCATAAAAGATATTTACTAACCGATCACTGATTATCGATTATCTTGGCATAGGGGGCGTGCGTGTACACGCGCGAAAACAACATGGTTGCAAGCGCGATTAAAGTATAGCTTTAAAACAATAAATGTTATAAATAATAATATTATACTGAGATTTGGTGTATATATATTCTCATCTACGATCAAGCCCTAATCATGTGACATTGTAAGCGTCATATGCTATATAATAATGTGTGACATATGGGACCATACTTAGCATCGTCTCTACATGGAGATTGGTTTTGCTCTCATTCCTACTGTTTCTCATTATAAAATGTTAAATTTTATTAGCATATTATGATGAGAAAATGAATGTATGATCGGTTGGTTAAAGACGAATGGCGAAGCATGAAAATGCACCGGAGGAAAGTTAGCTTACTACTATATGTGCTAGGCGCGCGAGCACACACACACACACACACACACACACACACACACACACACACACACACATGCACACATAGTAGTAAATTGTCGTACACACGTAGTAATTGTCGACTGCTCTTCAAGCACTGGGTAGTGGGGGGTTCCCGCGGCATCGTTTATTCTGATCTCGTCCCGTAGACTCCAGTCAATTAACGAGCGTTTGTTCGTAGGTATAGAATATGGTAGAGCACGTAGACGCGCTGCCGCTATCGCACATGCAACTAACTAACGGTTTCCCGCAAATAATCGAAAAGCGGAATTTCTTTGAGACTTTTGATTTGCAAACATATATGGAGAAAAAAAGAAAACAGCTACCACGGCTGTCGGTTTCAGTGGCGCCATCGTCGATCACGTGACCTGCGTTTTCGTGAGCTGCGCAAAAGTATGCGCAGCAATATTAATAGGGACTTGATTATCTTTAATAATTATCTTGTTTTTAGCCTGGAGTGTTTAGGTGGCTGTTGTCCCTATGCGCATCTACGACGCCTGTTCGTTAATGAATGATGGTGTGTGTGTGTGTGTGGTGGGGGGAAGCAATTTGTGAAAGTATAGATTCTATTCGTAAAGATGGCGGGCCGCGATGTGGGTTGCGGTAGGTAACAGTATATGTTCCCTCCCCCACCGCCACCCACGCACCCCTTCCTTGAACTTTGCAATAAAGTCCATATCTTTTATCTTCTGTCTGCCGACAAGAAATTCACCACCTTGAAGTCGGCGGTCGGCGGCGGCGCTCAGTATTTGCATATTGAATGTTTATCGATCTAGCAGATATGTAGTCGACGGCGTTCAATCTATACATTGACGTCGCGAAATGAGTTGGACACAGCGGAGACGAAATCTTGTTAAATTGACTTTCAGGATAAGTTCAGTGAGTTATTGAATCTTATTCGTTTATTTTTTTAGTTAAGCGCGTGTTAGGTTTAACCGTCGCCAACAACTAATTGTCATTAACAGACGGCGCTGTTATCGATTAGTGATCGATACAGCAACCGGAGAAACAAAATTCGTTCCTAAATGTTAGAAGAAAAAATGTTTAAAAAAATGCAAGACGTTAACGTCCGTGTTTCGACATGTTTATTTTTACTGAGGATCAATTCTGTTTAACAGTTCTGTGTAGCGGTTCTGTGTAGCAGTTATGTTTAGCAGTTTTGTGTAGCAGTTATGTTTAGCAGTTCTATAAAACAGTTTACAAAGCAGCTCTGTGTAGCAGTCTGTGTAGCAATTCTATGTAGCAGTTTTGTGCAGCAATTCTGTGTACCAGTTTTGTGTAGCAGCTTTATGTAGAACTTCATTGTATCAAACATGTGAAACAGTTCTGTGTAGCACATCTACGGAGCATGTCTATGAAGCACGTCTATGTAGCAGTGCTGTAAAGCACATCTTTGTAATATTGATATAGAGCACGTCTATGTAGCATGTCTATGTAGCACATCTACGGAGCATGTCTATGAAGCACATCTATGTAGCAATGCTGTGAAGCACATCTTTATAATATTGCTATAGAGCATGTTTATGTAGCATGTCTGTGAAGCACATCTATGGAGCAGGTGTGTCGCCGTGCAGGCATCGTCACAACGTAACGTCCCCTCCCTTCCCCCTCCCACTCCGCTGCGAAGACTTCAGAGCTTATATCAATATAAGCATTAATAGTTGCCGATACAGTTTTCGAAGCAATTACGTCGACTTGTTTACATTCCGCGTCGACAGTGACCGTAAATAACTAGGAAGGAAACGCGATTCGTCGGCCGCCGCCGTCGCCCACCCCTAGCCGCGCTTAGCTGCAACGAGATGCCGCACAGATCGCATTTTACAGGATTATAACCAGAGTCTATTGTCGAGAAAAAATGCCGCGAGAGAGAGAGAAAGAAATTCCCGTAATTTTGCAAATTAGCGTATACGCGAGACGTCCTCGCAGACGCCCGATATGAATTTTTCCCCGCGGGGCATATACGGCGTGTGAGTCGATGGCGACCGCATGCGTGATGCAGGTAGTTCGGGGGCGTTGCGCTGAATAATGTAACATGCTTCTGTAAAATTGATTTTGCCCGAGCGAGGTTTTGTTGCGTTTAGGGAGCATAATTTCATTCGCTATGCATATCTAGAGTCGACGCCGTGCACTCGACCGCGTGCGCGCGCGAGGGAAAGGTTATTAACGCTTTCAGAGTTAAAGTTTGTTTTTGACACGGATATTATGAGCGCGAGAATCGTCCGTATTGTGTAATCTAAAATGCAATACCTGTTCATCCTCATTTTGTGCCATCGTTCACTCAACAGCAACATCGCATCCCTCCATGCCGCGCTATCGACCTGGTCAATTTTTTTTCCGAGTTTTTTTACGTATAAACGCGGTCACAATGTGGCGCTTCGCGTCAATAATTGTTTCTAAATGGCATAAAAGATATTTACTAACCGATCACTGATTATCGATTATCTTGGCATAGGGGGCGTGCGTGTATACGCGTGAAAACAAATTGGTTGCAAGAGCGATTAAAGTATAGCTTTAAAACAATAAATGTTATAAATAATAATATTATACTGAGATTTGGTATATATATATATTCTCATCTACGATCAAGCCCTAATCATGTGACATTGTAAGCGTCATATGCTATATAATAATGTGTGACATATGGGACCATACTTAGCATCGTCTCTACATGGAGATTGGTTTTGCTTTCATTCCTACTCTGTTTATATAAAATGTTAAATTTTATTAGCATATTATGATGAGAAAATGAATGTATGATCAGGTTGGTTAAAGATGAATGGCGAAGCATGAAAATGCACCGGAGGAAAGTTAGCTTACTACTATATGGATAAACATACACACACGCACACACACACACACACACACACACAGGCACACAGACAAGCACACAGACAAGCATACAGACATGCACACACACACACACACACACACACACACACACACACACACACACCACAACACACACACACACACACAATACACACAGAGAGGGAGCAGACAGACAGACACCCAGACAGCCAGACAGACAGACAGGCAGGCGCACAGAAAAACAGACGTACACACAAACAGACGAGCCCGACGACAAAGAGACGGGCAGAACGGATATAGCAGCCTCGCTGACGAAATATATTATCAACAAGAGAGAGCAGTGGAGGGGAGGAGTGACGAGAAGGGAGGCATGGTAGGAGAGAGGGAGGAGGCTGACGCCTTAATTATGCCAGCGAGGTTCACATACGACGCGAAGCGCAACACAAACACACCTCAAACACACCACACACAACACCACGCCCACACACACACGCGCGCGCGCGCGCGCAACAGGGCTCGTGTACCCACGCGCCCCAGGGGGCGCTCGCGCAGTGCGTCGAGCAGCCGGGCGGTGTATCCGGCGCACGTATTGATCAATTACATAAGCATTGTGCGAGGCGCCGCCTAGCCTAGCAGGCAGGGAGACGGCTAAATGCGAGCATGGTTGCGAGTCGAGTATTTCTCTCCGCCAGCACGGTCGACGCTCGCATCGCGTCTGTGTGATGCTGACTTGACTTCCCCACCTCCTGTCGTCGCCCGCCGTCGCCACGACCCTGCCGACACCGCTTCACACGTCACAGCGTCAGAGAGAGAGAGAACGACGAACGACGACAAAGCAGGCGAATTCTCACGCCTCTGACGGCGACGGTATTTACCTCCGTCCACCTTCTCGAATCTCGAATCTCGGATCTCGGAACCCGGATCATGCTGCGAGCGCTGCTGGTGGCGCTGTCGACCCTGTGCGTCGTCTGGCGTCGCGAATCGGTGCGAAGCGACTGTACGAGGACCTGCTAGGGAACTACAACCGTCTCATCAGGCCCGTCGGCAACAACACCGACAAGCTGACAGTCAAGCTGGGGCTGAGGCTGTCGCAACTCATCGACGTGGTGAATATATATATTTATATATCCTATTTATTTATTTATTATACATACTTACATATAGATAATTTATATAGGTATATATATATACATAGATACATAGATATATATATATACACACATATAGATATAAATATATATATGGATTTTATGGATATTAAGTATCCTAAATAATATATATTATATAATGATATATATATATATATTATATATCTTAATATATATATATCTATATATAATTACATATATATATATATTATATATATATAGTATATAAAGAGGCGAGAGAGAGGATCGAGAGATGGATAGGACGATGATTAGAAGACAAACAGACGGGTAGATGGCAGACAGACAAGCAGAACAGAACAGACAGGGACAGACAGAAGACAGACAGACAGACAGCAACAGACATCAAACAGAACACGATACACGAAGAAACAGACAAACAGACAGACAGACAGACATATAGAGAGATATATAGATCGATAGTAGAATGGATGATGGATGATAATGGATGGATACCTGGCATGGATTGTGGGATGGAGGTGATGATGACGACGGAACGGAGGACGACGTACGACGATGGGACCGGACGGACGGACGGATGTGTGTGGGTGTTGTGGTATGGATGTGGTGTGTGTTTGCGTGTGATGTGTTTGAGGTGTGTGTGTGGTGGGATGTTGTGTGTGTATGTGTGTGTGCGTGGGTGTGTGTGTGTGTGTGTGTGTGTGTGCGCGGTGCGCGCGCGTCGTGTCTGTGTGTCTGTGTGACTCGTAACAAGGCATCAACCCGTTATTACCTCCGCCCACGGAGTGGAGGAGGTTATGTGATCGCTCTCGTGCGTTAGTGTGTTCGTGTGTTACCGCGTGTGTTAGTGTGTTCGCGCGATCGATATTAGCGCGTCGAGTCAGCAGCAGGTCAGTCAGCAGCAGCCAGCAGCGAGCGTGTACATGTCAGCGAGCAGCAGCAACGAGCGGCTGCTACGAGCTATGTCGCTGGCGGAGGTATGCACTTTCCGTGAGTGCCCTCTGTCGAGTTAGATGATGTATCCAGGGCATTGATTTCGGAACGAGCGTGTTATATATTCACATGAGGTAATTTATTGCGAACATTTCCGCCTCTGTGCCGGATTTTATCGGACATTACATCTGTAGGTAGCACTGCATGTCGTTATTTTTATCGACCGCGTACGCCTGTCTGCGTATGTCAGCACGCAGCCGTCCTGTCAGCAAAACGAAGTCCCGTCTAAAACATTTTACGCACGCACGCACGCACGCACTCATACACACATGATCGCACACACGCATATAACCACACACGCAAGCATACACGTAAACACACTCTCTCTATCTCAATCTCACACTCTCTCTCTCTATCTATCTATTTTTCTCTCCCTCCCTCTCTATCTATCTCTTTCTCTCTATCTCGCTCTCTATCTATTCATCTCTCTTCCCCCCCAGTCTCTCCTTCTATCTCTCTATCTCTTTCTCTGTCTGCCTCCGTCTTGCCTCGCACACGGCTCTCTACACTAATTCGCCATCACGATGAAAAGCTTCTAATTGAAACCTACCTGCGTCAGGCCAGGGCCGCCATCATGAGAACGTTGCTTGCTGCTGCTGCTGCTGGTGGTGGTGGTGCTGCTGCTGCTGCTGCTGCTGCTGCTGCTGCTGCTGGTGGTGGTGGTGGTGGTGGTGGTGCTGCTGCTGCTGCTGGTGGTGGTGGTGCTGCTGCTGCTGCTGCTGCTGCTACTGCTGCTGCTGCTGGTGGTGGTGGTGGTGGTGGTGCTGCTGCTGCTGCTGGTGGTGGTGGTGCTGCTGCTGCTGCTGCTGCTGCTGGTGGTGGTGGTGGTGGTGCTGCTGCTGCTGCTGCTGGTGGTGGTGGCGGTGCTGCTGCTGCTGCTGCTGGTGGTGGTGGTGGTGGTGCTGCTGCTGCTGCTGCTGGTGGTGGTGGCGGTGCTGCTGCTGCTGCTGCTGGTGGTGGTGGTGGTGGTGCTGCTGCTGCTGCTGCTGGTGGTGGTGGTGCTGCTGCTGCTGCTGCTGCTGCTGGTTGTGGTG